ATGGCGAAAGCACCGTGTATAATGCCAAAAGCACCGCCGTATAATGTTAAAAGCACCCAACAAAATGCCGTTTGATCACTTTAAGCCAGCTATGGCTTTCCATAAAAGAAGACCAAAGATGAAACATGATCACATTGCCTGTTTGCCTTATGCCTGACCGCGCTGCACCACGGTTAGAATTCACTGGTACCGTCATGCAATGCGCCAAATAGAAAATTTTGATTTCGACCCACAAAACAAAATTAGGATCTGCTGCCTTGCTCGCTCGCTTCAGGCTCGCTCGCTGCGGCAGCAATTAGGATTGCTGCCTCGATCGCTCGCTTCACGCTCGCTCGCTACGCCAGCAATGATGGCCTCGTGTTGTTGGCACAATGTATGCCTGTGAAAATTATGTTGTATTTGATGAAACTGAGTATAAAAAAACGACTTGTATTTGTATAAATGTGAACCTAAGAAATATAAGTAGCCTACAGGTGTAGATTTATGAAACACAAAACTGGAGATGCATGCGCGCATGTGTAAAATTGTAAAGGTAAAATATATCCTGTGGTGTAAAATATATATTTAGTCAGACCCAAAGAATATGATCGCGCTGTACTAAAAAGCTTGTATGGAGGCATGTAAAATATATAAATCGAGAGAAAGAGATAGTCATGAGTGTAAAATTCAATATCCCTTTACGCGGCGTTTCGTCCTTCATGGTCTCATGGACTCGTCAGCCGGGAGTTTGGGTTGGCACATGTGTAAGAAGGATAGAATACAGAAACCGATTTGGATTACAGAGTCTCAATAAACATAAAAATAGCAATATATGTGTATGACTATTGTAAAATAAATGTAAAGTAAAAAGTGTCTTACCAAATTCTCTGATATTTTTAATTTTGTCAACTATGGTTGTAATTAGGGCCATGGTTGTAATTAGGCTACTAAGGAATGTGGTATAACTATATAGCCTTTATATAAAGCGTCTTTCGTTACGACAGATAAAGGCATACCAGTTTTTTAGAGAATCAAGCTTGTCTGAGTAAACGCGTTTGTATGCCATGATCGCTTGACATGCTGTTCGCTTCAGACATTTGGTGATTTGGCGCAATTGAATTTGGCGCCCAAAATTTTGTAAACTTATATTCTGAAGTTCTAATATGCAGTAATTGGTGATGACAACTTGACAAGTCGCTTCATAAACTAGATTAGTTAATATTTTTCAATGATTAAACTATATCTCGTTACTTGGCATTAAATTACATGCAAAGGAAAATAATCCAGGCTATTAATTGGAAACAAATGTCAAATTACTTCCCGTTCGTGTTTCCTTTTTAAGGCCCTTCTTGGTTTTGCGTATGATTTTTGGGCGAAACCGTTGCAATCACTGACCAACTGAGTGGTTGCAATGCTGCCACCATGTTCCTAGCCTGTGCGAACCATTGGTGCGAAAGTGTGCTTATGAGAAACATTCACTCAAAATGGCGGACGTTCAAGGTGGTGAATTAACTTATAAGGTCCAAACACACCGGACGCGATTCGACAATGCGAGGCGATGTTTCGATTTTCACTGACCGATAACTTTGATTCTAGTTTGAATTTTCCAAATATTTAGAAGCGGTATAACATTTTGAGTTATTTGGTCTACATATTTTTCAAAACTTGTTCTCATTGGCTATTTTATTAACTTTCAAAAACTAAAATATCGCATCGCGTTGTCGAATCGCGTCCGGTGTGTTTGGACCTATAGTATAGTGCCCTGCGGTGAATGCTTCTCATAAGCGCACTGGTTCCTCATCAAAATGCACTCGCAATGTTAATCATAACGAGTCATGGCGTGGCAACGGTTACGTTTTTTTGGCTGAGTCGACCTTCTGTATGGTTCCTATTCTGTCTTTTAGAATTCATAGTTTCCACCCTGGGTCGTATTGTTTATGAATTTCCTGACCAGTTCCTTATTTTCCCGTGACGTCACCGAGTAATTCCTCTGGGTTCTCGGCTTTCACGCGTTTCCAACCTTCAAACTGACGGTACGTCATTTGATCAATTTCTAAAGTTGTTTCTTTTCGGATTTCTTTTTTATTAATTTGGTTAGGGTTAGGGTTAGGGTTGAGGTTTGTGTCGGGAGTAGGGTTTGGGACTTTGGGTTAGTTACGTAGCCTAAATGGCTACATTAAATACGTATAAATTGTGTAAAGTCATATAAATTGTTAGGAATATAGATAGACGATGACATGAGATGGAAAACCAACACTGAGTACATTGTAAAAAAAGGCGCTAAGCGACTTTACCTCTTGAAGATTTTAAAGAGTTGTGGTGCACCAAAAAATGACCTATTAGCTTTCTATTGTACAGTAATTCGTTCTGTTCTAGAGTATGGTGCACAAATCTGGAGTGGTGGTCTGACACAAATGCATAAGAAAAACATAGAAAGAATCCAAAAACGAGCCCTACCAAAAATAATTATTCATCCTGGCCTTTGTGATTATGGACTTCTATTATCTCAGAGCAATCTGCTGACCTTAGAAGAACGCAGAAACAATTTATGTGCCTCCTTAATTGAGGACATGTTACAACCATCACACAGACTTCACGGACTATTGCCAAAAAAAACTGAGTGACATTAGGGAAAGAGAGACTAGGACAAATGGCGAAAATATTTATAACTTTTTTTGCAACACTGAACGTTTTAGAAACGGCCCTGTAGTTCATGCTATTAATGAATATAATTTTAAATTAGATAAGTAAGATTTATATACATATTTATACAATTATATATATATATATATATATATATATATAAACGATTTTAACATACAGCTATAGGTCCATTGATGTAAATAGTTTTAAATAAGTAATAATTCTAATTAATTCTAATTAATATCTGACGATGTAAACACGTTGTAATTTAGCTTTTTGCTATTGAACGTGTACTAATAAACCCACTATAAAAAAAACCACTACCTGGTAATGCAGGTGTTAAATACATCTTATTCATCTTCCGACAATGACGTCACGTCAGTTTGGTAGCTGGAAACAAGTGCTGACCTGGGTTCTCTGGGTCAATCTCATACCAAGAGTCATCAGTTGAGTGGCCCTTCCCTAGAAAGCTCTGGGAACGAAGTTGTGTGAATTGCTGACATCACAAAAACTAGGTTAATTTTTAAAAACAATAACTTCCACGAACGAAAATTAGCCGCGGTCTGCCGGTCTAAACAAATCGCGACTTGAATAAGCTAGTCGTGAATGATTCGTATGAACATTGAATTTGAAATAAGCCGCTGCTTATTTAGGCTTTTTCCACTAGGCAGAATTTTCCGCGCGGAGCGGAATTTCTTTCTGTCTTTTCTAATTACTTTCACCCCGAGAAATCACAAGACAAAGAAAAATTCTGCTTAGTACTGGAAACGGCCTTAAATTGCTGCGTTGAATGCGTCTGCGCGCCAATTTAGTGATCTACTTTATAATAATTAAAGCGCTTGGTTACGAGAATGGTAATACACCATTTCATAAATTACGCCATAAATCTCTCCTTGGACTGGACCCACGTTTTCGATCATGAATCGCGAGCCTTGATTTATGAGAGCGATCGATGTACCCAGAGCAAGAAAGTATTCATAAGTAACTATGGAAAAATGTATTATCAAGGATGAACAACTTATCCCTTGGTAGGGATGCCTGTATTCAGGTGTTATTAAACCAGCTCTCATGTATGGTAGTGTGATATGGGATAGCTGCAGCATTGAATGCCATCAACGACTTCTAAAGCTCAAAAAGCGGGCGGCTAGAATCATCCTTGATGAAAATAAAGGAACACGTTCAGTAAATCTTTTTAACAACCTAAACTGGCTGCCCTTATCGAAACAATCCTTTATAAAAAGGAACAATATAGCGCTTTTAAGAGAGTTAATGAAAAAATTTTATTCCTGAGTATCTTTAGCGATGTGTTAGTAAGGCTAGAAACTCTGATGTGCACGCTCGTAATACTCGGTATAGTATACTTTGAACATTAGAGAAACCGAGGGTGGACGAACTTTTACAGTCACAACTATTAAAGAATGAAATAACCTTGATTTCCATTGCGCAGTCATATCCATATTTCTAGTTTTAAACGAGGTCTATATAATAAGCTTCTAAGATCTAGACGTGATCAGAAGAATGCTATATGCATCTAGACATTGCTTAAGTAATAAAGATTTATGATCTATGAGGGCATTAGTTATGAAGACTAATGTATTGTATTTTAAATAGTTTAAATTTCAGTAATGTATAGTGAGGGCCACGAATTTATAAGTATTTTGTAATTACTGTCAAGTGTCACCCTCAAAAATATAAGGAGAATTTCGACGTTTCGAATAACTCCAGACGAAGGGCCTTCTCCTTATAGTCTTCAAATTCTCCTTATATTTTTCAGGTAGTTGCATCCCCACCAACAAAACCTTGTTCATATGATTGGCACTACCTACACTGTCACAAACAGTTCAAGTATTATCAAGGAGCCTTAAATCTGCCTCATGTCCATGCATTTAGCGGTATTTTAGCCACATTTTGACGTATAAAGTGTACGGCGTCATCCGATAAGGAATTATAATGCTACGGCTAAGTTAGTACGTTCGATGCGCCGATGTTATGTGGGAATAAAGTAATAGTCTTCCTTGTTTTCATGTTTCAGCCTCCTTTTTGTGAAAATCATATGAGATGGCGTCATCTGACGAGGTCGATGCTGGCATTATTACTTTTGACATGTTTGATGTGCTGATTCCAAATAAGGGCATCTCGCCTCGTTTTTATGCATTTAACCTCCTTTGGATCAAATATATGGCAGCATCATCACCCATGTAATCAATTACATGGATGGACTGGAATTTAGTTTTTATTGCCATGTACGTTGGAGTTCAAAACTCTCGATGTTATGTAGTCGGTGGAAATATTGAGGCATGATATCTCTTGTTTCATACATTTTGTCAACGTTCACACGGGGCTGGATGAATTCGGAACCGTACACAAATTCGTCCGGTTCTACAAGTTTATACGGAACCGGATTAATTACGAGACGAAAAGTGTTTACACAGAACCAGTCTTGAAAAAAGACCAGTTACAAAATGGTCTTCAAAAGGCCAGACCGGGTTCCGCTGTTCACATGGCGCCGTCTGATTTAGGAACGTGCCATTCCGGTACAAAACGAGACCTAATTTAATTTTTTTGTCTCGAATTCGTTTGGTTAGCTGTGTGAGATTGTAAATTCTTAGATTCACTTTTATTTACACACAATTACTTGGAGCAAAATATGGGGGCCTTTTGGAGGTAAACTGCGACAGCCGACAGGACCATTACAGGCAACAGCACACGGATTTAAAATTCCCACGAACGACGATTAAGAACAGCGAAAAGCGACAGTAATATTTAATACGTTTCAAAAAGCAACCATGACGATCTTTAAACTGCGAAAGGCGACATTCCAACCCTTCAGGGGGGGGGGGGGGGGGGGTGAATAGGGGTTTACAAATTCGCCGATCCGCCCAATTTTGAAGCAAAATCCGCCGACCAAAAATGGTCTTGTTTAAATTTGGATCCGCTAAAATTTCTACTATGAAATCACAATCCAGGATCCGAACTAAATTGCAAGCCAAATCCATAATCCTAGAGCCATAATATTAGATAAATCCGCAATCCGCTGTATTAATAATAAGATCCGCAAATCCGTGTAAAATATTCGCAGATCCGGAATCAAACGTTCAACCTATTCACCCCTCTCCCTTAACCCCGGCTAACCACTGGCTAACAGTCCCCCAAATAGCATCAACACCAGCAAATTAGCACAATATGATATGTTGTAACATGGCTGCAAATTACACGTGAAGGGTTTTGGGTGATGAAAATTGCGAGTGCACTCTTTATAGCTCAATTGGTTAGAGCGTTGCACCGGAATCGCAGGGCCGCAGGCTCGATTCCTGACAGAAGGGCAATAGTTGCATTTTCCGCAGCTGGTTAGTTCTACACTTGAGAAGAAATATTTCCATCTTCGAGAAATTTCCATCTTCAAAAATTTCATTTGCAGCGGTTCAAAACTTACACTACATTGAATAGCTTTTTGAAACGGCCCATAAATCTACCCGATATAATGTAGACGTGGTCTTATTATCATTGGGTTTCTATAATTATACATGAAAAACGTGGCGTTAATTACCAGGTACTGCAGGTTACAACAATTAATTTCTATGATTAAAATTTTAAATCGACTACAATTAATTACTTATGTTAAAAGAACATGCTTACGATAAAACCTTGCAACTTGTATCGCTAAATTAAAACCAACCTCCGTCCTCGTTCTCATTTGCTTATAACAATTTACTTCTATAATTAAAATCGACTACAATTAATTACCTATGTTAAAACAACATGCTTAATACGATAAAATCTTACAGCTTGTTTCTCATTTGTTTATAACAATTTACTCCTACGATTAAAATTTTAAATCGACTACAATTAATCATCAGTGTTAAAACAACATGCTCCACGATACAAAATTATCCTCGTTAGACAGCCTGGGACGTGGTTGCGCTCAAAACTATTTTTGTAACTATTTATAGCATAAACCATAGAAACAATAGGATGCGATAAACCAACTTTAGCCTGTTCGGGCGTGCGTTGGATATTGAAAGTATTGATAAAATTTTAACACAGCAACAAAATTCAGTTCTTTCGTTGCCCAACGATAACTTTTTGTATCATTAAAAGGAAAACAACCAAATACAAATCGAACTTTCATGACCTATTTATCAACATTATCCGTTGCAGGGAACTGAGATAAAACAATTAGTTTAAAAAGCCCTGGGGCCGGTTGTATAAAAAAGTGATTAAAGTTAACTATGATTAAGTGGAAACGTCATCCAATAAGAAGCGCGTATTTGAGAGTTAATCACTATTTAACTGCAAAATAGTGATTAAAAAAGTGATTAAGAGTTTTATACAACCGGCCCCTGAAGTATGCAATAAAGTTGAATAATTGTTGATAAATGTGGTCACTTCTGCTTAAAGATTATCGCTTGACAAGACACATTAGTGATTAATTGCTTTTTCTTTTGTTATGAGTGTATTGCTTTTAATTTAGCACAAAGGTAGAAGAACGTGATTTCCACTGGTATTAATCGTCTCGTATTTGGTAATTATTGCTTGGAATGATACAAAAAGGTAGGCTATCATTCAAAACCTAATACCCTGATCGTTATTAACATGAAAAAAATTAAATCATTGCACTCAATATTGAACGTACAAGAGCACGTTAAATTTAGCACCTACATTTGTTACTGTTCCTTCAACGAAACTAATATTTTAAAATCTTTGCTCAAACTGTATATTATGGAGAGCAAGACAAAACTTTCGGACGATGAAAACTTGCTATACTTTAGAGTTTCACTCCTATAGTCAAATTCAATAAGGCAGATCGATTTTTAAGGGCACGCATGAGAAAAAGTGGAGACATGATTCCTGATCAAGTATACATTTATCTATATAGTATCTATCATTTCTATTTATGATGTTTGACATGTATATATAAATTGCCCTTGTATGCGATACTGAGCCAAAAACCGAAAGTGCGAAAACATCCTGATGTCATAATAACATACTAGCTAGGATTTGTCTTTCATGTTTGCAATCAGAAGAATTCCTTAAGTTTAGGTCGTTCTTTCCAATCACATGACCTAACAATCTTGTGTACTTCGACAGGAAGATTGGGGAAGAGGTTAAGGAAGTATTCTTGGGG